CTTTTTTACATTTTTGTCTCCCCCTCTGGACTTGGAGTTGCTTGACGGCAAGGACAATGTCATTTATATATGCATAATTGTGTTCCCAACTACTAAGTGCTCTGAGCATGACAAATAGTAGGTATACAGCAAGCATTTATTGAGCTGAAACACTGAACATATACTATTGCTGGCACTTTCGTAGATTTTGTGGAACATGCAAAAGAATCTGCCTTCATTGAAGTAGTCAGGAATGTAGACTCTGGAGCTAGAAGCTTGACTCCAATCCCATTTCCACCACTTACTAGCTGTGGGAACTTAAAAAATTACTTAACCTCTCTGTGCTTCAGGTTCCTTATCTGTAAGATGGGAGATAATCGTGGTAACTGTCTAAAAGTGAGTATTAATTTAAATAATGTATACAAAACATTTAGCACACACAGTATCTGACACAGAATAAGTGCTGAGTCTTACCTTATTTATGAATTAATGAAATAATTAGATTCACAAAATTTATATTCGTGAAAAACAAAATACTGCAAATATATCACTATATAGAACTGTTTAAAGTCCTTCCTGAACCAAGATGTTGCAGCACTACGACCTCAACAAAGCATTGCTGAATGAATGAATGAATGACGTTAAAAAAAAAAAAAAGCCATAGCATAATAAGTGCTGGCCTGACCATTGTGAGAGTACTGTGTTCACTTCCGAACATTATGCTGTAAGAGAAACAAAGTATAACTAGAAGCAGACCAGTAGGATGCTCCAAAATCTAAAAAGTATCTAATAAGAATGATTGAAGAAACTGAGAATAGGTAGAGGGACACATTATTGCTGACATCAAACATTTGAAAGTTGTCATGTGTAATAAAGGGGAGCTTTGCTTGATGCTGCCATAGACAGCAGAACTTGGGCCAGGGGATAAAAGTTATAGGCAGGTGATTTTAGCTGAACATAGGAGAGTATTTGCTGAAAGCCAGTGTTCACCATGCAGGTGAGGAAGTGGTAAGGTTTTCCATCTGTGGAGGTACTCATTAACTGAACACTAGCCTAACAAGGATACTGTCAAGGGGACTTTTTCATTGGGCTGAGGGTTATTCTAGATGGACTTTGGAGTGAGTTCTTTGCAGGAAGTTGAAGATCTGGACCTTTCAGGGAAAGAATAGTGTCACTACATTTAAATTAGTTCTCCAAGTGATAATCTCAAAGAAGCCGAAATGCTCTCAAAATCGACATCCCCATAACTTTCCCATGACCAGCTCACCCCTGTGCTTTTACATAAAATTTCCACTATAGCCACTTTTTGGACAGCTCATTCAAGGTCCCTGTTAAAATATGATTTAAAAAAAAAAAAAAAAAAAAAGACCAGACCATCTAGTACTTGATTTGGTTTTTTTTAAAGCCAAACTATGAAGAACCCCAAAGTCTTGCAGATTCACTTCAGATTCAAAGTGACAGATATGAGATATGAAAAATATAATAAAATTTCTGTCTGTTCTACAAATATATATATATATATATTTGTGTGTATATATATATATATATATATGAATGATTTTTTCCTAGAAGAAGTATGGCTTTAAGCCACTCAGCCATTATCATCAGCTTCTATTATACTGCCTGGTATATAGTAAGAATTATTCATTGAATGTGTTATCAGTCATTCACACCTTGGATCATACAAATTTATCAGATTAAATTTACTTGTCTTAGAAAGGCCCTGAAGAGATAGAAATCTAGACAGATAAGTTTAGAAAATTTTGAAAGATCACAAGGGTTTTACCATTTAAGCTTCAGTCTTCATGACACACCGTGCAAGCCATGCACAGATACTACAACCCTCTGAAGGTACTGATTTTTTCTTAGGTGGAAAGCCAGCCTTTCCTCCTCACAGATGAAGTCCTATGCTGGGCAGCAATCTGGGATGGGATTTGTCAAAGCCACTTTGTGCCCTGGCCTTCTGCCAAGTCCATAGATTTAGCCCTTTAAATCACATAATTTAAGCCCACACATGTCACAGATTCTATTAGACAAATTTCTCTGGCCAGCAGCAAAGAAAAGAGAGAACATGATAAGCCTTCTAAGACCATTCTTAATCTTTCATGGTTGGAGAACTACATTGCGAGTGGGGTTCACTGGCAGAATGCCATTAAATACTGACAGGTTTTGTTTCTTTAGTTAAGAATATGCCTTGAGGCTTAGCTTAGGTTAATGGCAGATGAGTGCATCTGCCAAGTATAAAGGTAAAGGGTAATGGGGAAAAAACTTCCAAATAATATTTCCTTAAAAGATACCAGAAACTCCATCACTAGTTACATGTTCTGAGAATAAAGACAGAGTAGACCTAACAATAAGTATGCAGAGAAAGGACTGGCCTCTGAGCACAGAGTGAGGCTGAGGCTAAAGTGAGGTTCAAGTGGCTGCAGCTGTGAGGATTGAAACAGAGCAAGGAATTAGGCAAGTCGTTAGACATCTATATGAGCCTGCATGTTGACAGACAATGGAAGAAACCCATTTTTGCATTATTCTCTATTCGTAGTATAGAGGTGGGCATGACTACTTAACAGAGATTTCCAAGGCTGGATACCAGACCTCTCCTTTACCCTCCATCATATCATCCCTGTTCTTTTAGCCAGACAACATTGCTATAATTCCAAAGTCACAGCAACTTTCCTTATGAAGGAATTCATGTTAATATATTACTAGTTATTAACCATGTGACTTATTATTTCATCCAGGGGTACTTTTGGAAATGTAGTCCCTTAAAGCAAGAGTGACTCTAATAGTACAATCTCAGGCAAACATTTGTAGATTTCTTTTTCTAAAGAGGAATACTATGAGGCCTCTTATAACAGAGCCCGACGGAAAATTACATAGACAAAACTAATTCCAAATGCAGAAGATTAAAATTAAAACTGGACTTTAAATTGACTATATATCATCCAATTACACTTGACTCAAGTTACAAATTATCATGATTTTACTGTTGTCTCTCTTCACTACTTTAACCCATGCATCTGGCACATAGTGAGAATTCAATGAATGGTACTGCTGTGGCCTTCATTATGATTACTATTAGAGGCAGTGGTAGTAATAGGGCCACTCTAGTACCTAGCACCATGCCTGGGCCATGTTAACTATTCAAAACTAAGGATTATTTTTATATCTTTATTGACCCAGCTTCTGGCATAGCGCCTGGCACATAATAGAGCACCGATTGAGTTAGCTTCCTTCATTCCCACCTTTCCCTGGGATACAATATTCTTCTGCTTCCCCCATGACTGTGCCTTACTAAAGGGGTTGCAGATCTCCCTGTAGCAGTAATGCTTCCTGCAGCAGTACCACCACCAGTCACACCATTTGAAAGGACATCTAGCCTTTTCTTCCATGGTAGTCTCTTAAGTGGCAAATGGACAGCAAGTGTTCAAGACCATTTTTCAGATGGGGATACCAAGATTATGAGTGGTTACCTTGGAATTTTAGCTTACTTCTAATCCCTATTTCCTATGAAGCTGAAAAATAAGACTCCCTGGAAAAATAAGACCCCTTGTGTTCCCCCCAACCCATCACCCAACTAGGCGGTAACTAATCTCATCACATTTCTGTTGCAGTGCAACAAGACTGCCCTCATATTTTCGTGCTCAATTCATCCTCCAAGGATTAGCTTAAGTACCATCTTTTTTTTTTTTGAGACGGAGTTTCACTCATGTTACCCAGGCTGGAGTGCAATAGCGCGATCTCGGCTCACCGCAACCTCCGCCTCCTGGGTTCAGGCAATTATCCTGCCTCAGCCTCCTGAGTAGCTGGGATTACAGGCACACACCACCATGCCCAGCTAAATTTTTGTATTTTTAGTAGAGACGGGGTTTCACCATGTTGACCAGGATGGTCTTGATCTCTTGACCTCGTGATCCACCTGCCTCGGCCTCCCAAAGTGCTGGGATTACAGGCTTGAGCCACCGCGCCCGGCCTTAAGTACCATCTTTATGAAACCTCTGCCAAAGCAGGAATGTCATTACCTGGAAGACTGAGGTAAATGTTTGTGGAAGCTTCATGTCTTCATCTTTTCTGACATCCAGAAGGTGAGACAAGAGGTTCTTTATCACATTGCCATGTACTTTAGCTGGCAAAACAGTTAAGTAATGCAAGATACTGGAATAGGTCCATTCTAACTCAGCCTCCAGAGGGGCCTGGAGGCCTCAGGGATGAGAGGGAAAGCGGAGCCAATCACCTAGTAGATCTGAACCTCATTTTCTCCCTTGGGGAAGATCATCATTCCCGTTTCACAGGGACACAACAGGGAGCTAATGAGGAATGTGTATAAATTTGACCTGTAAACTATGAGGCAACTGCTCGATACTGTGATTTATTCTATGCAACTGAAGACAAAGGCTGTCTTTTTACCTTTATCTCCCAGAGAAAGTTTAAACACATTGTAGGAGCTCAATAATTAGCTTTTTACTTTAAAACTAATTATATTAAATATAACCTGGATTTAGATATGATACAAATAAAACAGACCATCAACTTCTTGCAAATCTGCACAATGCCACAGACCTAGAGCCTGAAGGAAATTGGCCAAAGATGATCTTCAAATTTGCATCACTAATCAGAGGTGTTACCAGGAGTATTTTCAGGCACCAGAAGAGAACGAAGGTAGGAACTAGCTTATGCCACATCTTAGGAGGTTTACCCTGTGCCAGTTACTAACTGATAACTGCTAGTAATATTATTAAGATTGATAACCTTAGTAATAATAAATAAAGCATGGAGGGCTTGAATAACTTATTGAAGGCCATAGAACTGGGAAGTCATAAAACCAGGATTTAAGTCCAGGTCTTTCTGACCCCAAAACCTGGGCTTTTTCTGTTATACTTCTTTGTAAGAGGAAAAACGATGGCGTCATTGAAGTCACTTGGGATTTTTCAACTCCTTAGCAAGACTGCCTCCATAATTGTCCACTTGAGACCTCCAGGTATCTAATAATATTTTTGGTCTTTCTCTGTTTCCTCACTCAGCTTTCTAAATTGCTATGAACCATGGCCCAACTGTACTACAAAAAGGTCAACTATTCACCGTACAGAGACCGCATCCCCTTGCAAATTGTGAGGGCTGAGACAGAGCTCTCTGCAGAGGAGAAGGCCTTCCTCAATGCTGTGGAGAAGGGGGACTATGCCACTGTGAAGCAGGCCCTTCAGGAGGCTGAGATCTACTATAATGTCAACATCAACTGCATGGACCCCCTGGGCCGGAGTGCCCTGCTCATTGCCATTGAGAACGAGAACCTGGAGATCATGGAGCTACTGCTGAACCACAGTGTGTATGTGGGTGATGCATTGCTCTATGCCATACGCAAGGAAGTGGTGGGCGCTGTGGAGCTTCTGCTCAGCTATAGGCGGCCCAGTGGAGAGAAGCAGGTAAGAGAAATTCCTAAAGACTGAGAAATAGCCAGGCACAACAGGGCACCAGGTCAGAAGCCCTGAAACTAGGGAAGGTTAGGTGGTCTGGAATTGAGAAGCTCTATCGCACAAATTGCACCAGTGATGTCAGATAGCATCCTAGAGCTACCCTATGTGGCCCATGCTGAGTTTTCCTCATTACCTTTTCCTTATTTGTGTTTGCCCATACTTAGCAAGCTAATGGTGTGTTCTTTGTTTCCAGAATAGTCAAGCCCCTTCTAACCTTCGTACACCCTGCTTTCTATCTTCAGTTTCCTCCTGTACTCAAAGGTTATATTCTAGAAAAGCAGAGAGAAAATACAGACTTGGACATTCTGCTTCTCATCAGCCTCTCTCCTGAAGCCAATACAGTAGGCTTTTAAACTTGAGTGCCATGTTGCAGATACTTATGGATGTAAGGCCTCATATATTTTTCCAGCACCAGTCAAGTGACTACACTCCACCTCCAGATGTTTGGGTTTTTGCCTCTGTGATTCTCATATCCTCCAAGGCACCTAGGTTTGATACTCTTGGGTCATCTTTTATTTGTCTGACTCCCTTGCCCCCATATCCAATCCCCAAGTCCTGTGGTTCCTTCCTTCCAAATATCTTTCACAAACTTTCTCTCCTCTCTAGTTCATCGTTCACCAGTCTGGCTCTGGTTCCCAACATCTCTCTGTTAGATGAATGGTCCCTAAAGTGTGGTCCCTTGACTGGCAGCATCAGCATTACTGGGGAACTTGTTAGAAATGCAAATTCTCAGGCCTCTACCACAGTCCTATTGAATCAGAAACTCTGGGGTAGGACCCCAACAAGCCCTCCAGAGGATTCTCATGTGCAAACAAGTTTGAGAACTGCTGTCCTAGACTAATATAAAACTCTTCTAAACTGGTCTTCTTGTGTCTAGCATGTTCCCCTCTCTCAAGAAGTCCTGAGCAATAATGCTGCCTTATTCTCCCTAAAATAGCATTATAAGCTTGTCGTTCCTGTACATCCTTTTGCGGCTTCTTTTCTGCTGTCTAAAAGTTCACTGAAAATGAACTTACGATCAGCAGATTAATAGGAGAAAAGGGCATACAAAATTTATGAACATACACATGGACATGGAAACCATACACAAAGGTTGAAACTCAAAGAGAGGTCAGATGTTGGAGACATAAATACTCTCTTCATAGGGGAGAAATGTGTGGACCTGTGAAGCAGACATTATTTTATAAATGATTCTCTTTGCATGCTGCCAACAAGTTAAGGGAAAGTGAGGGATGGGACTGCATAAGAACTAATGTTGTCTTTTTTTTTTTTTTTTAATTTCCATAGGTTATTGGAGAGCAGGTAGTTTTTAGTTACATAGTAAGTTTTTTAGTGGTGATTTGTAAGATTTTGGTGCACCCATGACCTGAACAGTATACACTCCAGCCTATTTGTAGTCTTTTATTCCTTACCACCTTCTCTTTCCCCGAGTCCTCAAAGTCCATTGTGTCATTCTTATTCCTTTGCATCCTCATAGCTTAGCTTCCACTTATGAATGAGAACATACAATGTTTGGCTCTCCATTCCTGACTTACTTCATTTAGAAAAATGGTCTCCAGTTTCATCCAAGTTGCTGCATATACCATTAATTCATTCCTTTTTATGGCTGAGTAGTATTCCATTGTATGTATATGCCACAGTTTCTTTATGTACTTGTTGATTGATGGGCATTTGGGTTGGTTCCACATTTTTGCAATTGTGAATTGTGCTGCTATAAACATGCATCTGTAAGTATCTTTTTCGAATCATGACTTTTTTTCCTCTGAGTAGATACCCAGTAGTGGGATTGCTGGATCAAATGGTAGTTCTACTTTTAGTTCTTTTTTTTTTCCCCCATTTACTTATTTTTTTGCATTTTGGGTTTTGGGGTACATGTGAAGAACATGCAAGATTGTTGCATAGGTACACATGTGGCAGTGTGATTTGCTGCCTTCCCCCTATCACCTACATCTGGCATCTCTCCCCTTGCTATCTCTCCCCAGCTCCCCACCCCCCACCGTCCCTCCCCTATTTCCCCCCAACTGACCCCAGTGTGTAGTGCTCCCCTCCCTGTGTCCATGTGTTCTCATTGTTCAACACCCGCCTATGAGTGAGAACATGTGGTGTTTGATCTTCTGCTCTTCTGTCAGTTTGCTGAGAATGATGGCTTCCAGGTTCATCTATGTCCCTACAAAGGACGCAAACTCATCGTTTTTGATGGCTGCATAATATTCCATGGTGTATATGTGCCACATTTTCCCTGTCCAGTCTATCATCGATGGGCATTTGGGTTGGTTCCAGGTCTTTGCTATTGTAAACAGTGCTGCAATGAACATTCGTGTGCACGTGTCCTTATAGTAGAACGATTTATAATCCTTTGGATTTAGTTCTTTAAGGAATCTCCACACTGTTTTCCATAGTGGCTGTACTAGTGTACATTCCCACCTGTAGTATAAAAGTATTCCCTGTTCACCACATCCATGCCAACATCTACTATTTTTTTTTTTTTAATTATAGCCATTCTAGCAGGACTGAAGTGGTATCTAATTGTGGTTTTTATTTGTACTTCCATGATTATTAGTGATATTGAGCATTTTTTCATATGTTTGTTGGCCATTTGTACATCTTCTTTTGAGAGTTATCTATTCATGTCCTTAGCCCACTTTTTGATGGGATTTTTTTTTCTTGTTGATTTTCTTGAGATTTTCATTGCAGCCTTTGGATATTAGTCCTTTATCAGATATATAGATGGTGAAGATTTTTTTCCCACTCTATGTGTTGTCTGTTAACTCTGCTGACTGCTCCTTTTGCCGTGCAAAAGCTCTTTAGTTTAATTAAGTTCCAGCAATTTATCTTTACTGCATTTGCTTTTTGGTTCTTGGTCATGAAAGCCTTGCATAAGCCAATGTCTAGCAGGGTTTTTCCAATGTTATCTTGTAGAATTTTTATAGTTTCAGGTCTTAGATTTCAGTCCTTAATCCATCTTGAGTTGAGTTTTGTATAAGGTGAGAGATGAGGATCCAGTTTCCTTCTCCTACATGTGGCTAGCCAATTATCCCAACACCATTTGTTGAAAAGGGTATCCTTTCCCCACTTTATGATTTCTTATTATGCAAATAAAGTCCCCTAGGTAATCTCTTGCAGCTGCCCTCAGAAAAATACATGAAAAGTCCATCTGGGCAAGGTGATGACTGCCAGTCTTTTCTCCATGGTTGATCTTTCTTGGTGATTTGATTAGATTTCTAGGGACGGAGTCTTAAGACAATTGCATTTCTTTTGGAAAGAAGCTTTTTTAGTCAGATAAGAAAGCTCCAGAAAGTCCCTCAGTATCCTTAAAAAGGATCAGAGAGACAAAGAGGTACAGAAAGGTCAGAAAGAGAGAGCTTGGGTCTGAAGCTTATTTTTGAGGCCTTTCCTTTTTTTTTTTTTTTTTTTTTTTTTTTTTTGAAATGGAGTCTTGCTCTGTCACCAGGCTGGAGTGCAGTGGCACAATCTCGGTTCACTGCAGCCTATGCCTCCCAGGTTCAAGCATTCTCCTGCCTCAGCCTCCCGAGTAGCTGGGACTACAGGTGCGTCCCACCATGCCTGGCTAATATTTTGTATTTTGGTAGAGACAGGGTTTCACCATGTTGCCCAGGCTGGCCTCTAACTCTTGAGCTCAGGCAATTCACTTGCCCCAGCCTCCCAAAGTGCTAGGATTACAGGTGTGAGCCACTTACCCAGTGGCCTTTCCACTTTTCAAAGCACTCAGCATGCTTAAGTGCCATATTTTGGGAAATTATTTTCTGCACCCCAACACCAATCTGTGAAGTTTAGCACCTCAATGCCCTCATGCAGCGGTCTTTTCCAGTCCTGTATTCCTCTAGTCCTTTCCAAACACCCCTCGAGTTAGACAGGTCTCTCTTCACTGTCTCTCTTCTTTAGAAGCACAGAATTAGGCACATAGTAGGGCACAAAAATACTAAATCATCAAAACTGGAATGCCTCAATACATTCTAAAAAGTAGAAATAGCACATGCCAAAACAAAAATTGCAAATTTCTTAGAAATAGTAATAATAGAAACAATCAGCATCGAATCTAATGGTATATGGCCAAAGCTGAGTTTAAATGAAATTCATAGTTCTCATATTTGCCTAACAAAAAAGATTTAAAGTAAATTTAGTTATAACTCACAGACTAAGAATTGTAATTGATGGAGCAGAAAGCAAAGACACTATATTATAGTATTATAGTATACTTCCTTGAGTTAAAGGCCTGAATCCCCCTCCGCTATCAGCATTTAATACAGAACCAAGAGAGTGGGAATTTCTCTCTTGTTCACTGCTGTATTACATCACTAGAAAAGTTCTTGGTACAACACCAGCACTTCATAAATATTTATTTAGTGAATGAGTAACATACAACCTGCACTGTGCTAAGTATCTGACATGGCTTATCCCATTTAATCCTCTTAGCAACTCTGTTAGGTAGACAGTATTATTATCATCGCTATTTTACCATAAGAACAATTGAGGCCAGCCATGGTGGCTCCCACCTGTAATCCCAGTCCTCATTTTTTCCATTTTTCCTCCATGATCTAGTGAATACTGAGGCTCTGCCAATCAGGAAGAAAGGCACTACCTCTCTAGGGAAAGGTAGTGCTTAACTTATGGTAATGAACCCACTGGCAGTGGAAAGTCAAGCCTATGGAACCTGGGTAAAGCTATTTGGCTCAGGCAGGTTTTTATCAGGACCCTTTCATACACATTGACAATGTAAGACCTACTTTGTCCATACTTAGCTATCACACTGTATGTACAAACCCACAAAGTTGTCAGCTCCATTCCCAAGTCTCTTCAGCAGTCGTCTCCTCTGTTTCTCCTCTCTCCCCGTAACCTTCACAACGAGCCTCTGCTAAATTTCATTTTCTTCAATTGCTCTGACAATCACTGTGATAAGTCATGTCAGTAACTATAACTGTTACAGTGCT